TGTAGGATTAGGATTTTAATTCCTCTTTAACTGTCCTACTGTTCCCTAATTATCTTTTGTTACTTTTCTCTGAAATAACCCATTTCTGGTACTGAAGTGAAAGTTCAAATCATACTGTATTTACTTTCAGATCTCATTCTAACTTGTAAAATCTTCTGGTCAGCATCAGTATTTTTTTGAGTATACTGAAAAAGGTAGTACATTGGAATTGGCACTTACCCAGAGAGGTGCAATCTAAATTCATTATGATTTCACAAACAAAAGTCATTAGGGTATTTACCTTTGTTAGCCGTCCACCATGTAGTTTGTCATCCAGATGAAGGTACACAAAACAAAGCTACATGAATACATTTTGAATGAATTTATCACGGGGTTATTGCCAGGGATTTATTTATTTATAAAACTGCACTGCTTATGATTCTGATAGCCTGTAGATGTTTACACATTAGTTTTACAGTATTAATTCTGAAAAAAAAGTTAGTTTTCTGCAGTGTTGTCCACTTCCACAGTCAATATTTAAATAAACTGTCTTGTTGCAAACCACTTTATTTTGCACAATGTCTGTAGGTTTTATTTTGGCCCCATTCAGAACTGAAAAGGCAAAGTCTTTTGCAACTAATGCAACATAATTCATATTCTGCATCTTTCTGATGAGTTAAGAAGCAGGTATTGACAATGTTCTAATCTGATAAGCATGCAGTAGCACTATCAGCAGCAGTAGGACTTGCATTATCTCTTGCACTATTAACTGGTGTAGGTGTAAGTCTTGGATGGGATTCCAAGTGTACATTATACTATAGGATCTAAGATTAGGAGATAAGGGAACTAGGATATAAACAGAGACACACTTCAGATGGCTAGCGAATTAAAAAGAGCTGGGGATTTTTTTCTTGTAGAAACAATGACCTCATCAGAATTGCCAGCATGAATTTTAAAAGCAAAATATATCATTTGACTAGTGATTGCAAATAATAAAATCCTTTTTCTTCCAAGATTCTTGTCTGTGTGCTTCAAGCAGTAGCTAAATTGGAAAGACAGCTATGTACAATTGGCTACCAAATACAGATATGCTAAGATAGAAAAGTTAAGAAAAGGAAAATCAAATGTAGGTTTTGTTTTCTGCTTGATGGGTTTTGCTGAGTTTTCATTCCTAAAGAAAAGCTGACTTTCTCATTAGTCCTGTTTGAACAGGGACATCTGAAATCTCTGGTTAAAAATTATGTTATCTTAATCACAACAGAAACTTCATATTTAAAAAAACTTTCATTACATAACAACCGATTGTAAAGAAATAAAGATACATTTCCTAAAAAAAGAATGAGACAGGACAATGGAACATTATGAACTTTTAGTTATATACTGACCAACATTGAATGGAGATTTGTGGTGTGGCATGCCTACTTAAATCTAACAAGGTTTAGGTCAATCTAAGTGCTGAATTGTACATACATTCAGGGAGTTTATATTGGGCAAAAATGGTTGGCCTAATGTAACTGAGTTAACTTGAGGAGATGCACTGCGTAGATCAGGCTAACCTGTGTTTTATCTAACTGAACATGTATAAACATTGAAAGCACAGCAAACACCTCTACATGTGGCAGATGTCTACTCCTATGCATGCTAATTAGCATGTGTTGGAGCAGACTCAGTTAAGCAAGTCTGCTGGAGCATGCTATTTAGCATGCTCCAGCAGCTTTCATGTCACTTGTATTCAGTGTCCCTGCATTTCAAAATGGTAGCAGGGGCACTTTAACTAAAGCTTGTCAAACAAACTTCAGTTAAAGCACCCCCCCCACTGCCATTTTGAAGCACATGACATTGCAGGCACTTTATTTAGAGCAGCTATGAAAGCCACTCTAATTACAGCACCCTTCCTTCCACCCTGGAACATGTGTATAGTCACCAGGGATCTGGGTTTTCCAATTCCCACAGAAAAACAGAGTTCCAGCCTGCAAGAGATAATTGCAAAAAGGATAGGAAACCCCCAACCCTGTCAGGAGGGGGAGGGAGAGGGGGAAAGGCCACAGCCTGAGGCACAATTACCAAAGGCTTGGCTCAGGCTCACTGATGGTTCCTGGAGCCTAAGGTAAGTAGGGGTTGCAGGTCATGGTTGGGGGGGGGTGGGCCCTGGGTGTCAGGTGTGGATGTGGGCGACTGCCAGGGCTGCAGGAAGAGGCAGAGGGCCGGGGGGAGGGGGCAGGGCATTGGTGTGTGACTAGTGGCTGAGGGAGTGGGGAGGTATTGGGGGAAGGCCTACATGGAGAGACCACCAGTGGTGCATGAAATGGGAGCAGTATACTATTGGCCTGAGTAGATTCCGCACTTCCCTATGCAGCTTTCCTGCAGGGCTGATAGCATGCCATTCCAGGTCCATGCACCACCAGCCGGGCTGGCACTCCACGTCTTTCCCCAACATCTCCCCACTCCCTCAGCCACCAGCCAGCTTACCACAGAAGTGCCTGCCCAGCCGGTGGTGCATGGACCCAGAGTGGTGTGCTATTGCCCCTTTAGGTAAGCCACACAGAGAAACGCAGAGCATGCTTGGGCCAATAGCGTGCAGCTCCCAGTCCATGAGCCATGGGATGGGCCAGGCTGGGTGGGCTTCATGCCTCCATCTCTGGCTTCCTGCAGGAGTGCAGGAAGCTGCACAAGGAGGCGCAGAGCCTGCTTGGCCCAAAGTGCACAGCTCCCAGTCCATGCACTGTGGGCCCGGCTTGTCTGGGGGTGGGGGGTGGTGCCAGCTCCCCACTGCAGCATGCACTCCCAGGGGGTAAGGGGGTACCCACACCCCCCAGATCTGTGCATGGGGTGGAGGCAGGGGTGGGGCGGGTGTGTGGTGTGGGCTCATGCTCCCAGCCCTGCTGCCCTTCTCTGGGGCCTCTACTATGCAGTGTGCGTGACCCAGCATGGCAGGGCACAGTGGGGCCACACAGGAAAGCTGCTTGCCTCTGTAAGCTCTGCCCTGCCCTGGCCACACTTCCCCTCCAGGCAGGGGCAGCAGCAAGGGGCACAACCCTGTGCTGCTGCCCACACTGCCCCTGTGCACACAAGGGAAGTGTGACCAGGGCAGTTTGGAGCTTGCAGAGGCAAGCAGCTTTTCTGCATGGTCCCGCTATGCCCTGCCATGCTGGCTCACACATGCTGCACTGCAGAGGCCCTGGGTGAGGGCAGCAGCACTGGGAGCATGAACCCACAGTGCACATGTGCCCTCCCCTGCACACAGATCTGGGAGGTGCCGGTCCCCTCTACCCCCCAGGAGTGCGTGCTACAGATGCAAGCTGGCCCTGCCCCTGCCCAAGCCTGCAGTAGACAGGCAGCAGTGGGGGAGCCAGCTCTGTGCTCCTTCTGCTGCAGCAGCTGCTGCCTTCTGTTGCGGGTATAGAGCTGTGGACCTGGGTCCCTGGACCCATAGCCCCTGTAGCTGGGGGCCCCCTGTGGCAGGGCTGGGGGGGCAGGGGCTGTGGGTGGGGGGCATGGGGTATGAGCAGGACTGGGAGGCTGTGGAGGGGAGTGAGGAGTACCAGTTGGGCTGGGGGGGATGTTGTGGGGGGAGTGAAGGGCATGAGCAGGGTGCAGGGGAGCTGTGGGGGGAGTGACGGGTGCCTGTGGGGCTGGGGGGCTGTTGTAGAGGGAGTGAGGAGCATGAGCAGGGTGGATTGGCTGTGGGGGGGAGAAGCACCAATAGGGCTTGGGCGATGTTGTGGGGGGAGTGAAGGGCACCAGCAGGGCTGTGGGGGGGGGTGTCTATAATTTTAATCATGGATTTGGGAGGGGTTTATCACAGAATTTGCTATTTTTTTATCAGGGAAAACCAGGATCCCTGTTAGTCACCCAATGTGTACACATTTCATATATCTGCATGTGCCCGTAGTCTCATAACTAATTAGAATTGATCCTATTCCCTAAGAAAATTAATGCATGGCCTGACAAGAACTGTTTCTGCAGTGACTATTTTTCTTTTTTCTAATGCAAATTTAGAGAATGGGGGAGGCTTTCAATAATGAAATAGTTCTCCTTCCAGTATTACTTAATGGATATAAAAGATGATGTCTCCCTGCAATATGTTATATTGAAACAACTGATCACAACTGAGGAAACAAAGGGTGAGCACTAAATTTCCATATAATAAATTTAACATGTAATACTTTTACTGTTACTTTTCACAAAAGAAGATCTCTGTGTTCTCAAACACTTTGCCCTTGAAAGGTTTGTTTTATGCAAATTTAATTCATAAAGTCTCTACTATTCATCCACTTTGGTATGATTCATTTGCCTTTACAATAACTTTATGTTCAGTACTGTTGGTGCAGACTGGTTATTATAACTTGTGAGTCAATGGCTATCTGTATCTGAAAAAGTATTAATCTCCACCCCTACCAAATTACCTATTGTGTCTTTTTCTATCATTAAGGCTTCTGCATTTTTCCTTGTTCATTTTTAGTGAATATAACCATAATAGAGTAATCAGTGACGGAGTATAAAATCTGTAGACAATGACTATATAAAGAGTAAACAACAACGTGTCAGGAAAAGATGGCAGACTGACTAGACAAGAAGACTAAAATGAGTGAAATTTATAAAATAAATTAATAAAACTAGGGAAAGTAACTTAAAAAGATACATAATTTTATGGTTCCTTCCCCTGTATAATTGTTATTATATATAATCTCCTTTTCTACTTCTCTATGTAACAATGTTATTCTATCTGATAACATATTTTCAACACTATACTAGCTTCACATCAGTGTTATAATAAATATCAACAGGCTAGATCCTTAGGATGAATAAACTGGCACATTTCTTATCAACTTCAGTGTGAGATCAGAATCAGGCAGTCTTTCCATAAATTTCAACCAGAGGTTTTCCGTCTAAATGGTACAGACACAGTGAAATAGCTTAGGGTTGCATAGAATCTGTGGAAAAGTCAACAAAAGGTTGCTGTGCATTTATTAGTTCACTGTTTATTAAACAATAACTCAAGATCCAACAAAACTGATAAATGTTTAATGAAGTATTGTTTAGTGAATTGAGAGCCTGTCAAAATAGTTGTTGGGAAGAACAATTAATTGGTACAAATATGAGTGCAATTTTTTTTAAACTTTTAAAGCATGTTGTTTGAAGTATACAACTTATGTGCACAATACAAATTTCATACATTTTTCTCTGTGACAATAAAAAGCATAGTTTATTATAAACTGAAGTAAAAATTAAGATAAAATTTAAAAAAAAAATCACAGTTTTGTCATTGGTATGTGAAGATTATTCCAAGGGCCCATCCAGAGTTCTTCTTCATCTGATTGTGTGTGATCACTGTGGGATTCCAAGGGTTCTTTGACATCCTCATTATCAACCACTGATTCTTGCTCTTCTGTGCTTTTTATTTTGTTGCCTCCTGGCTTTGTTGCTATATTGTCAGCCCCTATTGTCGAGGAGGCAAACGAGACACTAGATGGTCTTGTGTTCAATTTATCACTAGAAGATGGCCCCTTTGACAATGTGTTCAGTGGGATATTCTCCTCATGTGTCACTGCAAGCTTGTCCAGTTTCTTGAAGTGCTTCCCCAGCCTAACTGGGGATGTGACTTTTAAATTATTGGTGAGACAAATGCGACGGGTTCTAACAACAGATCCATTCTGTGCAATGTAGATGTTGCCGTTGATGTTGTTCTGAATATTGGGGTTGGTAAGCTTATTCCTCTGACATTCTGGAGCACTGTCTTCTCCAGTTGAACTCGTTTCATATTCTGGGTCAACTACCAACTTGATCCTTTTCTTCCTGGCCCACTGTTTGATAACAAGAGACAGAATTTATTTAAGCATATCATGATTTCAGCTTTAAGTATCTAACTAAAATACCAGCTGATATTAAGTATCTATCTATCTAGCTAGCTAAGTATCTGACTATAATATCAGCTGATATTTTATTTCATAACATATATTTTAATCTATTTTTAGCTTTTCATTTTAGAATATACATTGATCATTTTCATTTAACTGCCCTAAATCATTGTTCCGTGTTAAGATTACAAATGCTAAAGATAATGTCTTACTTAGTGGATCCAACAAGATTTAGAATAGTCTTTTCAGTTAGGTGATATGAAAGATTGTTCTTCAATCTAATAGAGTGAGAGACATTTTTGCTAGATAAACTTTCTTCTATTATCTAATAGTTTGTGATCCCAATAAAGTTAATTTATTGGAAAGGAAATTTTCTTTCTTGGAAGCTTAAGAAATATGCTCTCGTGTAAGTCATTTAATTGGCCAACAAAATCTTATTTTGACCAAACAATCATTTCTCAGCTTTTCATACATAGGAATATGAAATACAATTAAAAAAAAAATTCTTTCTAAAAGGAACTGGAATTTATTGATGTCAAAATCATTGTACAAATGCTATTTCACTGTATTTAAGTATAAATAGTAGGGCTGTGTGAACTTTCACCGGCTGTGTCAATTTGACACTGTTTCGACTCATTTTGAGCACAAAACAGTGAAATCGAATTGAAATGAAGGGCTTCAAAACAGCCTTGAAACAAAACAAGGCTCATCAAAATGTTTCAAAAGTTTTGAAACGTTTCAAGTTTTAAAGCAGCCAACAGCGAGGTGGTGAGAGACAAGGGAGAACCAGGGCTGCACTCCCAGCAGCAGCTGGGAGTGCAGCCCTGGCTCTTCTTGTCTCCTGTTGCCAGGCTGCGGGAAGCCAATAACAGCACAGGGGAAGGGAACTGAGCCTGGGCTCAGTTCTCCTCCCCAGTGCTGTGATCGGGCTGGGGAAAAAAACTGAGCCTGATGGCTCAGTTCCCCTCACCAGTTCTAAATTGGGCTGGGGGCGGGGAGTCAGCCTCGCTGGGTTGACTCCCTGCCACCTGATCTAGCTCTGGGGATGGGAAGTCAGCCCAGCAGGGCTAATTCCCCGCTCCCAGCCCAATCTAGTGAAACATCAAAACAGTGTTGAAACAGCTTCACTGTTTCGACGAAGCAAAATGGAACAGCTGTTTTGAATCAAAATGAAATTCGAAACGGAATGCTGTTCCATTGAAACTTTGAAACTCTAGGCAAAATGGAATGGTGCCATTTCACACAGCCCTAATATATAGTACCGTGAAAAACTCACAATCACAACCTTTTTTTTTTTGTTTTTTTTACCAGAATGTAATTTTACAAAATACTATATTGTATGTTAATTCATGAATGGCACTTGACATTTCCATCTTACAGTGAACAAAATGACAATGACAATGGCATTTCAGAACCATAATCATTTTCATTTTGGAGATAAACAGTTAGTGTTGATAGTACTGAGGAGAAAAAAAAATCCTACATCACTCCTTGATATAGGACCTGATGCATCTACTATTCCATGAGTTGTACCTGTCTAAGTGTTTTGAAATAAAAATAATTACACTGCTATGAAACAGGAGTAAATCATTTATGAATTATATTTTCCAATATGAACAATACTTTTCAGAGAGAAAATTGAATTTCAAAGTTGTTTTGCCTTTGTATTAAGTGTGATTTACACAAAACCTTTTGCTTATGTTAATCCAACTTATTACAGTGCTGCTTCCTAGCCATATACTGTATCTGACTTTATGATTTTGATTCTTGAATTAACAGTGGAAACATCTTTTTCCTAGTGTTGTTCTAGGAGGATACAGCACATTCCAGGTAACTTCTAACACATGCATGCACACACGTACACAAAAAGAAAGCAGATTTTTAAAAGAAGTAAATCATGCTATGTACAGGTGGATGGTACTTTTTATGCCTTTGGAAGACTAACCTTTGCACAAATTACAGGGTTTTCTCTCCCTTTTCATACTTATGCACACCTATCATTTGTGTTGTATGGATATGTATTTTTTGGTGCTTGGTATATTTACACGTTTTAAGAATTTCACAATACATAACGGTGCAACTACAACTTGGGGACCAAGAGCTGAGGAAGCAAAAAGATAACTGACCATATAATTTAGTTCACATTTCAAATATAGATAAAATCTTCCTTCTGTTATCGGCTTGTTGTCTTAAAAGATACTAATCTCCAGACCTTTGGTTATTGGTATTAGTGGGCTACAGCATCCTTGAGTGATGGCACAAGGAAAAAACATTAAAATTTGCCTTAATTCAGGATGGAAAAAGATGAATTTCAATTCAGCAACATGTAGACAGCATGCATAAGGCTTGGGCGGGGCACACCAAGATGCATCAGGAGTTTCATTTATGAAAATAGAAATGCAGCTGGATGTTTAAAACAGGAGTTCCTTCCAGTACAATACTGTAAAAAAATGACTTTTCTGCTTCATGAAGACAATAACAGGAGAGCCTGGAGCAGCTGAGGGATAAATTAAACCTTATTAATTTATTCTTCTGGAAGGTGTGTGTTCTCAAAGGCTAGAGACAGACATTCAAAAAATCTGAGCCTGAATTGGTTCAATCTTTGCAGGTTAGTCTAACCTGACTAGGCTAAATCACTTTATAAGCAGACAGACATCCCAGAAATGAAGGCACATGCCAACAGTGGCTCAAGCTAGAAGCCAGGGGGTGCTAGAGAAGATCTCCCTTCCCTTCTTCAGAGAGCTGAGGGGGGTGTGGCCAGCCCCTGGCAGGACACTGTAATTAGGAAGGCCCCACCTTGACAACAACCTTATCAGCTCTGCTATCAGCATTTAACACCCCATCAGAAAACAAAGTTCTTTTTAACCAGCTTTTTCCAAAGGAAGGAATGCAGGGACATTACCATCTGAGCTGTTGATTATCTCCAAAATTCCCTAAGTGGACACTGTTGTATCTGCATTACACAGCATTAGCTAGCATACTATATGGTCTGTGCTGTGAGAGAGAGGAGGAAGGGATCTCTGCTTAAGCAGTGAGTGGTGAGAGGTGGGGAGGGGGACACAGGGAAGCCAGCAGACCCTGCAGTGCCTGCAAGTCTCTGCCAAGCTGCAGGAGCAGAGAGAAGGGGCCAGCCCTGCTGTGGAGCTGAGAGGCCCGCCCAGCTCGGAGAGCATGCTGGGATGCTGGGGGTGTCTGGTTTGGCTTAAACTAGCAAGGAGTCTGGGACAGACATTGCATAAGCTGGTTTGAGCCAAATCAGTTAAGTCTGATACTACATTGAACCAGGTTTATCTCAAACCAGTTTCAGCCTTTTTGAAACTGGTTTATGTGCACTGAACACCTGTTCTGTTACAGGTTTAAACCAGTTTCTGATCATTTAAACTGGTTTATGTAACCGGTAATATCTGTCCCTAGCCAAAATTATGGTTAAGAATGTAGTTCCTAGTTTTTCTCCTTTTTCTTCCCAGTCACTAAAGCCTGCACCTGCCTGACATAAGATGTTGTGGTAAAACAGAAGCAAATTGGAAATAAATCTTGACTTCATTGAAGCCAACTGTAAATTCAGTAGTAACAAATATCAGCAACAAGAAAGATATATATTTGTCTCATGTGACTAATCAATACAGGTTTGATTTAATTTCCCGTTAATTTGAATGGGCCAGCCACTAACACTGGTGGCAAGGGAAAATTTAATAAAAATGAATGGCTTAACTTAAGATCAAGTTCAAGTATAATGGAAAGACAAACCATTTCCTCGGTCCCCTATAATTTTAGCATAACCTTTGTGAGACTCTCAACTACTGTTAGACATATCAGACAAGTAATTTATAGGTGCAGACAGAAGTGACAATTTTTCCCCAATCTGGTCCCTGACAGTGCTCTACAGTCTAACAGAACAGCATGTCTGCAAAACACTTTAAAAGGGCCCAATCCTGCAACAATCTGAACCGTCATTACATGAGGTTTCAGATGAAGATGCTCTAAAGTGGAGCACCTTAAGTTCTGTCTGCACATACCAGGAACGGAGCTCAGCTGATACAGCCCAGGCCTGCTCCAGCACTATTTTCTGAAGGAGGCAGGGGGAGGAGGCAGAGGGAGTTCATTCTGGGGGTTGCCCAGCTGGCACTAGAGGTGGGGAGGGTGGATTAGAGCCCCACCCACCCTGAAGTCAGGGGCTTCAATCCACTCATCTCCCCACTCCCGTGCAGCCTGAGAAACCCCAGAATGGACCTCCCTCCCCTGTCTTCTCCCACTCTCATCCTGAGACAGAATGGGAATTGGGAGGGAGGGGTGGAGCTAGGGGGAAGAGGCTGCAGAGATTTAGCCTCTCTCTCTGGATTGGGCCCAAGTTGGAGCTTGATCCCCCACTCTCCCGACCCAACAGCTAATGATTGTTGGGTTGGGAGGATTAGTTTAACTCATGGCACTTTGTGAAGTGCCATGAGTTAGACCTGGGAGCTATACTTCTGTCTGCACCTTACAGTTCACAGTCCTGGTAGTGGACTGCGTTTACAACCTAACATGAACTTAAATGAGAACTAATTATGGGCTTCCAGATGTATATTAGGACAACCTGCTATACATAAACCATTATTCAGGAAAGGGATCTGCAGTGTGGCAGAATAAGATAAAATAAAACTCTTACAGCTTTTGTATGTGATCATGTATTTTTAACACTTAACATGCTGACAGTGTGAAAAAGGACTGTTTGGCAAATATCATGATGCATTAGGAGTTTCATATATGAAAATAAATAGGTATCTTGATATTTAAATAACAGGAGTCTTTTATACACAATCGTTGCCACCTAGAAGAGAACTGGGAGTACTACAATGTCTCTAAAGAACATCATCAAGCATTCTTGGTCACTGAAATTTAGACAGCAAAATCCAAAAATACACATATGGAGCAAACTGGAATCAATGTTTTGCATTATATAATTACTAGACTTTCCTTGTGCTATCCAAAAAGCTTGTTCCTGTAGAAATTGCTTAAGATGTGTTTAACCCTGCCTAAATGTGTTTATCCATGACGTGTTTAGCTATGACAGATATTTGCAGTGATAAGTGCCACTCTGCCATTACACAGCTAAAATATTTAATTTCAGCCACTACATAAGGTTAAACAAAAATGTCCATTTTACAACTGAATATTTTTGGAAATTCTAACATACTCTATTTTGTGAATCAGTAAAATTTGCTAGCTAATTCTATTTTCATCTATTTTATGTCAATTATCTGATACTTCTCAAACCCCAAAATTATGCTCTGCTGAGACGCACATTATAGTCTAGAAGAAAGAGTACAGAGACAGAGCACTGAGATTTTTATCCTGGTTCCAGTAACATTCTCCAAAGCCTTCAGTGAATGATTGTAAAATCATTCACTGAAGGCTTTGGAGAATGTTGCTGGAGCCAGGATAAAAATCTCAGTGCTCTGTCTCTGTACTCTTCCTTAGGACCCTTCCTTAGTTCCCCTATGTGTAAGAACACAAGTGTGTTATGCAAATCTTATGTAAATATTATACAGAAAAATGAACGTGCAGTAAAGTGGTATAGAAGGGCCAAGCATTCTTCCACCTACTGTTCTCTCTATTCATTATCTTTGTCACAGCTATGGAAGTTCTGTTAACATAATATAAGCTAGGAACCTGTCACTATTACCTTTGTGACTTCTTGAGTGTAACCCTAGTCAGAATAGAGCCCATAATATATTTACGCTGCCCAAACCAACAAGCTCTCCATTACTGCTAATGCTAAATTCAATAGTGATTTGCATCATGACTTACACAGTTCAACAAAGTTCAATTAAAAAAAAAATGGAAAAAAACAAGCGATAAAATGCTTTTCTAATTACACTCTGTGAATATTAATGGAGAGAAAGGTGCATTTCCTTCAGCTAATTTTTTGAAAATCTATCAATGTCTGTAGATTAGAAATATATCTGAGGACTGGAGAAATAAGGCTTTTGGCTAGAACTCTTAAGATGGACATTTGCATAACTGAAACATCTGAAGAGGCTGATACTTGGATATTATATGTTCTAGTGTTCTTAAATATTTGGTGTTTATAAAAGAACACACAGAGAGCACAGCAAACAAGATCACTCGTTACTTCAAGAAGTCCACCTACTGTTCTTTCTTTTTTAAAAGGATGTGGAGTCACCACCAGTTTCTGACTCTGCAGTATCAGGCTCCTTATCTGACTGAATTTCACTGTGTCCTGAAGATCTCTTTTTTCTTTTATTCCTTCCCTTCATGTTGGAATCAGAACTTTGAACATCAGAATCCTGTGAAACATCCATTTTACTAGAAGTACTCACTGTGCTCTTTTTTCCTCTGAGAACTTTGGAAACAACACTATTTTCAGTGGATTCATTTTTACCAATAGATTCTTCCCTGTCACTAACACCTTGTTCCAAATTTGATTGTTCATCTTCTTCTGATACCTCTTTTATAGTGTCTTCTACTTCACTGCCAGCTGTAGCCCTTTTTTTCTTGTGGTTGGATCCAGAACTCTTTTTATATTTTCTATGAGTAACTGATCCATTAGAACTAACTTCACTGGGAATCTCTTCTGACATGTGACTAGAGGTCATTGTTCCTTCAGTAGAAATACTCCCTGTGCTCAATTCACTAGCTCTTCTTCTATGCTTGGACCTGCTGTATGAACTTGGCATTGATGAGGTCTGTGACTCAGTATCATCTTCCTCACTTGATTCCTCACCTTCCTCTTCAGACCCCTCAGATGACTCATCCTCCGATTCGTCTTGATCACTACCTGATTCAGAGGATTCAGAAGATGATGACTCATATTCTTCGTCAGAATCCACAGTACTTTCATTGGTTTCATCTTGGTCCAGTGTCACTTTCAAATAGTCTTTATCTTCTCCCTCATCACCTGGAACAGCAAGTTTTATTTTCTTCTTCTTCCTCTTCTTCTCATGCTCAGAGACATCACTATCTTCAGACTGACTCTCTGCTGTGACATGAATTGAAATTTCTGATCTTGTTTCAGATTCACTGCTCCTTCTTTTTTCACGTGCAAGATGTTTTTCTTGTTTCTTGGAAGCACTAATGCTTTTTAGCACTTGGTTTAGTTTTCTGGTTGTTGAAGGTTCATCATCTGCAGATTTCTGGAAATAACTTCCCTTGATAATCATGCTTTCATCACCATCCACTGGACGAACTGACATCAGCTTGGCATAATTAGAATCTTTGCTACTTCCTTTTACTTTTTGAAGAAATGTTGGGAATATCTTTGTTTTCTTCCATGGAGAATGCACAGGTTCAGCCATTCCTACTGGTCTGTGGACACTGACTGCTATTCGACTCAAATGCATAACGGCTTTTAGTTTCCTTTTTCCCTGGCTGGTCTTATATTCTCTTCCAGAATCATCTCTTAGATCTACCCTACCACCTAAAGCACCACCTTCTATTTGATCCCCTGTTCTCTGGCTTATACCTCTGATGGCAGGACCTCTGACTTGTCTCATCCCCTGCAAATTATGAAAATGGAACTTAATTACAATTTGTCAAATGTTTATAATGAATCTTGTAATCCTAAAAATAATTAATGGGGAAGAGAACTTAGAGTTAATGCTACCATGCAATGTTCTTCCAAAAATCAAGACCAGCTTACCTGTTATAACTGAGGGGTTATTTTTTTTTGGTCAATGTTTCTCGGACTGAAAAAAGAAAACTTAATTTCTATAATAGACAAATGGTTTTACTCCATTATAGTGCAAAAGGTTGACTCACAAACATTTTAGTTACTCTTCTAATTAATATATCACTTTGTTGGAAAATTGACTTCCGAAAATTAAATTCAAACATAAGTTTATATGAAAATTTATCCTGCTTTTCATGGGAATTTAATTTATTTTTTCAATTGCCCACTTGTATTATACATTAATTTTAATAAAGGTTTAATAAAGGTTTTGTTCATCTGTCAGTTATAAACTGTTAGATCTTCACGGATTATTCTTAACACTAATAATATAATTAGCTATTGTTTATGAATCCACCACAATATTATCTAAGGTTATATTTTTTTGCTGGGCAAGGAATCCATGATTAAAAAAAAAAAATAGCTATGCATATTAACATCAGCTTTGCATCTTTTTATTTCTAAAGAAAGGAAATAAAAAAAAGGAAAAGCAGATAAAAATTACATAATGGCATGTATACAATATTTTAAAGTCTTCCTTCTAGTTTGAAAAGCAACTTTCTTCCTAATATATCATCAGTCATCAAAATGGCAAACTGTGGGCAGAGATTCCAAAAGTTGCTTATCTGGTGCACACACAAAATAATACACTAATCAGTTATGAAAAAACATGTTAAAATTGAATGAAAGCATCAGATGAACTTACTTCTCCTTCTACTGTTGGTCCATGAGGACTATAATAATAGCCACCATCACCTTCCATAACCACTTCACCATACTCATCATACATTCCAGATGGAGACAGTAGTCGGCGACGACTCCCATATTGAGGCAATTCATACCTGGAAAAAAAATTCCCACAGCTGTAGTCTGTGCATGTCTACATATCCATAATTACACACACACATCTAACACAAACAACTTGCTTGTAGTCTAAGATGTTCTCATTAGCCTTTTCATTGAACAAAACTGATAGGTGATGGCATTAAGAATATCTCTGCAAGCTTGCTGAAGCCTGTGAAACAGCTGTCACAGATTCTAGAGTCTTTCAGATCAAGTGAAGATTGCTAAATCACTTGGAAAAGCCAGAAACTTCCCATGCTTGGGCACCTTTTTCCAGGTGCCTGCTTCTATTACCCTTATGGGTTTTTTTGACCGGAGAGCAGACAAACTGTTGGGGAGGGGGATGCTCTAAGCAGATTTTCTGGGATTAGGTTTACTTTAGGACACTAGAGCTGCATGCAAGTATTACATTTAAATTGCCCAACCAAGATTAAGGGAATTTAAATGCCCCAGTGTCCAAGCATTCACATGGCTCAGAAAAATGTTGTGCCCAATCTAAAGTTAGTTCTTATCTAATGTGAACTAACTTTAGATCAGCAAGGGATTGACCTGATTTAGCAAGGGTTAACCTAGCCCAGAAAATACTTTTTACATACACACAGCACTCTACACAGCTCTGAGGCCCTGCGCCCTACTATTTTTACTCCCTCTCTCCCTCAAACCCTGACTGGGCTACTAGCATCTATTGACCAGTCCACCCCCACACCAGGCAGTGCTCCTGTGGACCACGTGCCTCTGAATGCCCATGACTCCTCCCAGCAAGTGGCAAACACTTGCGCATACCACTTCCAACTAAGCCTAAACCAGGTGCCACCAATGCTTGTTTGTCCCTTAAGAATCCCTTGGAGCCCACCAGGATGAACTCCTAAATGTACCAACCTATGCAGAAATGATTTGAGCATAAAACAGTGGTTCTCAACATTTTAGACTTGTGACACCCCTTGATAGGTTTGAGACACCTTTCAGAAAATGCCAGCTCTTAGTTTTTACTTTTTATCACTACAGAAAAATAATAGAGCAATTTTCTGTTGCAAAGAACTCAGAGGGCACATCCCCATGAGTAGGAATGTGAATTCCCTGGAGATAACTAGCACCAGCACATATTTGTACTGCTACTAGTTGTCCCTGGGGAATGCTCCTGCACATGTGCTCTGGCACATAGCAAGTTACCCCAGGTAGGGTAGGTGAGGCTTACTGAAGTTCCTGGGGGTCCCTGGGGGCTCCAGCAGTGGGGATCTGGGCATGTGGAGCCTGTCCAACAGCCAGAGTGTGTCTGTGGCCAGCCAGGCTTCTGTATAGCGGGGTACACATTGCCGCCACATGCACGGATCCACTTTTTTCTGGCATGTTTTTTTTTGACACCAGGAGATCCTGGTGTCAAAAAAACCTGCTGCACTGCAAATTAGCAATAGGTCAAAATGGCTTTAACACTATGGATTCCTATCTGAAAACTATGGGTTTATTTTGTGAATCATGTTTGCACATCTAACATTATGTAGCTCATGATACCCTTGAAAGACTCTTGAGGCACCCCAAGGTTCCCTGGAACTCATACTGAGATTTACTAGTAAAGAACAATTATAAAACAGTGCATGATATGATGCTGTTACCCAATCCATATCTACAGGCCCAAGGGTGGGTAGGGAGATCATACTTTAAAGCAGAGAATGAATCTGGTGGGTAGGAAACAAGAATGGAGGAGGAGATATTGGGATTTCTTTGACAGAGATGGAAAATGTATAGAAATGAAATACATAGTTTCAAAATGAGTTAACCAGAGGAGTAGTTCTTCAGCATAAAGGTCTCTATGCCTGCAGGGAGATTAGCAAAGTTGCATAGCATCTTCAGAATATAATATAAGAGGTTTGCTCTCAGTTTGTACAGTCTTGCACAAACAGAATGAATATAGTCCTAAGGCTTTTTTAGTTTCCTGAGGAAAATGAAACTCTGCAAACTGGATGGTGAATTAAAAAATAATAATAAGTCTCATTACCTATATTTGCCAAATTATGTAAAAAAAATTAAAGTATACCCATGTTCATAACTGTAATAGTCTTGCCCATAGTACTCTTGGCCTGGATCGATTCCAGATTCCATAGACAACTCCTGTAACAAAAGATTAAACCAACTGAATAGAAATACTTAAACATGACAGAATGCAAACAAGAGTAATCTGATTGGTGCATAAGCAAAGAAAAAAAGCTAAGACTATTATGAATATTTGCTTGTTATTACAAGAAATGTATTCTTAAAGTGTCATGTTATATTTTCCCACTGCCAAAATGAGGAGATAGAAGAAATCATTGTTCAAAAAACTTCTATGATGCTGAAAGCAACTATGAGAAACTACAGCTGGAATACCAGTAATACAATGCCACCTGGAGCTCCAGATTTCCTTTTTAAAGTAAAACATTCCTGCAGAATTCAGAGTTAGCAAAATCTGTGCTAGATTAAAGTGTCACATTCTTCCACAAAGGAAAATCTTTTTCAGGTGTACGTTTTAATAGCTTCATTTAGCAAAACTGACTCATCATCACAGATATACTGTTACTTTTCTCAAGAATTTTAATGTTTTGCTTTTATGCCCCATTTCCTTCTAGAAGAATGTTAAAGATGCAGCTTTAGTTAAAGAGGAATACTATTTTATTTACAGTATTTGTGTGTCCCTGTTGCAGATCATCTTTCTTCTTAATACAATCTTACCTATTGTTCATCTTAACAAGCAGCACTCAATCTGAGTGAAGCAGCTGCATAAATGTTTATATCATAAAAAAATATGTGGCATCTTTTAAAAAATCTTCACAGTTGGGATGTTATAGGGAAGATTTGCCACTGCCATAGGAATTTTCAGGTGGTCAAATAGGAAAGCTTGAAGGCTTCCTTGCATGAAATTGGGCAGTGCAATGCAGCATGTTAGTGCCAAGAACTTGGACCCAAAGTGGTTCAGTTCCTTCTGACGTTAGAGTTGTTCGATTGATTAGTCTGGAAGTAATTTCAGAACTGAAGGATTTTAAACTGAAATCATCCAGATTATAGTCTAGACCTTTCATTACATTTAACAACTGTGCGCCAAAGCCACTGTTATCTTTGTGAACCATGCATTTAATCTCTAGGGATAGTAATCAATAACCATTTGACCGGCACCAGGGAAATTAGATGAAAATTTGATAGCAAGGAAATTATTCTATTTATTAATCTGAACAGAAAGCTCGCAAGCTTTGCAGGCAGTGTTGCTGAAGTCAACACTAGCAACTCAAAGAAGTTGCAATTAAATCCAGAGGGAAAATAAAGCAACAAAGAATTTCAAATGCTTAATCAAAACAAAATAAGTGGGATTTCAAGTGTTCAGAATTTTTGTTGTATAAAATAAATGGGAGAAAATCTACTTAGAGAAAAGGAATTCAGATGAGAATATATTGTAAAAGCTACTTTAAAAGTTAAGGAAATAATGAGAAAGACAAAAATGATACCTCTGGCCTGAGAAGAGAAGGTCTCAACAATTGCTGTTGCTGACAAATAAGATTAGAAATAGAGTTATAAGATCAGGCAAAATTGGTATTTTTATACTGCAACCAAAACTTATAAAAGAAAACTTACTCTAGCTTTAAAATATAATTTTATTTGTGTTCTCAATTTGACAATGGCCAAACTTTCAAAAGACTGGAGAAGTTACATATTAGACAGCAAATGATATAAAAATATATAATACTAAAACCAGTTTATAGTTTGTTATTTCTTTCATCTATTGTAGAATCTAATTCACAGCTAGGTGGCAATTAATTCCTGAATTATTTCTTAAGATTTATAAAAATCCAGTAGGCAGTTTAAAAACAGAACAAAACAAAACAAAATGTACAAACACCATCCTAGAGTAGGTAGAAAGCTAATCTGCGGGCATCTCTGGAGACACTTGCAGAAGCTTCTGGCCTTTGTACACAGGTTTATTGCTTCTAGTTCAGTCTCCAGGGTTCTTCTCTTATATAGCAATATAGTCACCTCACGCTTTCCCAGGTTACACAGGAGGTCTGTGTTAAAACTGGCTAAACACCTTTATTCACATCTCCTGGTTATTTCATCTTTATTTTTCACCAGGCATGACTTCTCTGTGCTTTCTGTATCTAGCTATCTATTTGGATATTATATGGCTCTAACCAAATATCCCACAACATCTCTTGGAGGTAGGGTACCACCATTTTATAATATATAATGTAGGTACAGAGTAGATTTAAACACCTGCCTAAAGTCACCCAGGAAACCTCTGGCTATCCTACCCATTATACAATCCTTCCTTTTTTGTTCAGGTTAACCAATTAAAGGGGTAGAAGCAGGTGATTTCTAACATCTATAACTCCTCTCTTATGGAGTAGAACATAATACTTTGATAGCAGTGAATGGACAAAGGATGCAGAGGTGAACAGCAGTTACATCCCTATTATCTCATAGCCAGACACTGATCAATCATGACAATTATGTTATTGGGCTATTGTATGGCACATATTCTTTTTAACTAATTCAGGGACTGTTGAAATATAGAATGCACATAATTTATTGTATTGTAATTTAGGACTGGATTCTACTGTCCTAACTCAAGATGACTAGTACCTTACTATTATACAAGTAGTCCCTTGAAATCAATGGTGTTACTTGCACTGTAAGATACCACTCCATGTGAGCTTATTTGGCAGAATCAAGCCCTGACTGAAAAACAGTTAGTTCTGCAGCATGCTTTATTGACCACATCAGAGGAGATTCATGAATCAGCCCTGCAAAAGGAGAAAACTCACAGCATGGTAGCAAACAAGCAATTCTGCAGAACATAGGGAGCAATGAGAAGCCAGAAATGCTGCTCCTGTAAACCCTAGTTTCTCTATGAAATGGCAGCTTTTGTAGACAATTATTTTATTGCACTAATGCAAGTTGTGAGCTTCTTAAATGATTTCAATGCAAGCAACATATTGTTGTTAGGAGGTGAAGAGAAAACACTGCAAACTAGAAGCTTTACATTCTATTCTTTTCAAACAACTTTACCAATATGGTTGATGAACAGTCTTACCTCCTGTTGTGCATATCCTCGCCTGGAATTCAGAAAAAAAACCCCAAAACATTAGTACACATCTCTAAGACTAGCTTACATAAGGATGAAATTCATATTCATAGCTTTTTTCAGAACAGACAGGAGTGAGTGAAATATTACAATAAAAAAAAGAAATTCACCTGTAAGCGCTTACAGGTGTTAGGCACTATAAGGGTTTTTATAGAGAAGTTCTGGATTTGCAATAACTATTGCATAAGATCTTTGGGGTCTTTTGATATATAGTACTGTAAACAGAGGAAAGTCCATTGTTGGCCCAATAAGTGAGAAAGTCACTACACCAGACTACTATATTAAGATACAAATGAGCAAGACTGCACACGTGTTATGCAAGGTCCTATTGGCCGTATCACTATCTGCCACTTTCCTTGTTTTCTAGATTGGAAAATGGAATTCTGACAAAGAAACCTTGGTAGCACAGACAAGTGAAGAATACATATCTAAGAACTTTTTTGCATACCAACAGAGGTAACACCTTTTATTCTACTTTTGGACTTTCTGTAACCATGCAAAGCTTGCTAGAATTTAGCTTGGAGTTTCTAGAGCTAAAAAGATATTATTATTAAAATAATACATATCCTAACATTTCATCAATGTGTTTAGATGAGTAGTTGTATATTTTTTAGCTATCTACAATTTTCTTGCCATAAGATTTGTGCTTCTGATCTTTGTGCTTTATTAGTTTTGTGTATGTTTTTTGTTTTTATCCATATTCATTGTACCATTGATAGACATAACAAATGCGATTAAATTTATCAAGTTCTAGATTTTCATATTTTATGGGAGGAAACTGTGAACATGATTTAGGCAAACCATTTAAATGGTTTAGTAAAAAATACAGAACAATTTGAGCCTCAGATCTGCTATCAAGGATAGATTTAGTCTCTTTTTGAGACAAAGGGTAAATGCTCAAAATTATCTTGTGCTTAACCTATGACATAAACAATGGGTCAGGGAAATAATTTAATTACACTTGAGAGAAAAATAAAGAACAAAGTAGAAGATCTCTTATTTAATATAATCTCTAAAGGCTGTCTATTAATAGTCAGCACATGGTTGATTATCATAAATGAGTTATTGCAGTTGTCCATCTAATATGAAAGTAATGAACAACTGAAATGAAAATTTATCAAAGGTTGATGTGTGACTATCCAATGACCACTTGAGCAATACTCTATTTGGTTTCCTTATCACCTACAATAGTGCTTAAAAATTAAAACTCTTGAGTTGAAAGCAACATAAGCCAGCCTATTAACCTTGATTGTTCCTGAGTGGTCACTACAGGTTAGATCAAAACACTAAGCAATAAAATATAATATTTATTTTTAAAAATAACTTAAAAATATACCCACATTGTATAACCAAATTTTTGGAAGGATGCTCATAATGTATTTGTAATATTTATAGTTGCCACATTTAGAAAGAGACAAAACTTTCCACAAGATTTTATTTTCCTAGCATACCATAAAGTTCCAGTATAAAAAGAAAGCCCAAAGTGAAAGTACATATTTCACTCCCAGTAAAGAATTGGAAAAAACTCCACCAAAGGATTTAAATTAAAAACTGTTATCCAATTGTCATTGCTGTCAAGCTGACCAAAAACCTCAAGTCATATTTTAAAAAAAACAAAACAAAGAAATTATATAAATGGTAAAAGATGCTAATGACAAAACATAAATAAAGCTTAATTTTACATAACTAGTACTTAGCATTAAGAATTACCCTAAACAAAGTTATTTCACAACAGATGCCTACCTTTCACAGGTCCAGACTGCTAAATTATATTTGAAGGAAATCTGATTTCCCTGGCCCATCAGTTATCTGGTTGCTTTAATCCCTGTGGGCACTTTCTTAGGTTTACTTAATCATATTTTATATTTATTTGCATATTAAAAGCAAAAGAAAGATCAATATTAGGCACTGTAAATACAAGTCAGAATTAATAAATTGTTTCATTTTTTAATGGCTCTTAAGATAAAGCTTTTCCTCAGTTCAAAGATGGTAGGATAAAATTTTGAAGCAAGTCACAAATAAACATTTTTCCTCCACTGGAGGAGAATTAGTATTTTTAATCAACTGTATCCCATATAACTATTTTGGAATTTAACACTTTGTACAAGAATAACAGCTGCATTTTACTATTTTTGGAAGTGAGAAAAAATTAAATGTAGAATGGTGACAATTAAGGACCTTTTCCAAATATTCCTTCTAGTTCTCTGAAACCATAAAAAATATTGAAATATATAGCCTGACAATAAAGAAAATGGAGTACAGTAATTGTCAATGGCAATCAAAAACTTCAAGCAGCCAAACATGGCTCTAATGTTTGTAGTATTTTCTGTCTAATGAAGGTCACAAATAAGTATACGGAACTGCTTCAAGGGATTTATTTAACTAATATATTTGGTGATGCTGCTCGCTTCGTGGATAAGTTGCAACTGTCACCCAGGAAGTGAGTGATGGACACCTGAGGAATTCAAACCTACAACCCCACCAGGAGAGTTCTCCAACTACCAGGCAATAGGCAATTCTGGATGTGGGCACTTGCCAACACCCATGATCAACCTGCAACACTGAGCAGAAAATAATTCATTGAACAAGCGAGAGAGAGAGAGAAAGAGCATGAGAGAGTGCGAGCAAGCGCAAGGCAGCAAATGTGAGCATGCAAGATGTTGCATGATTCGGTGAGCCTATTAATTAGAGCACTAATCTGGATGAGTTCCTGTGCTCTCTCTCAGGGTTCTTTCTGCATTTTCCATTAAGAGATCATCGAATAAACAATCCAGTGTTTGTAGAAACAATCTGGGAGCAAGGACCAGAGGACACCTGACTATTTCCATATTTTTGAAAAAATCCAATCCTGTCAGCATGCATTAGATGAGCTTGGAAATGCCAACCAGACAGAGCTGTTAGAAGTCTTACGGAAAAAGGTGGCACAGAGCTACTATGGAGGCAATTTTAGGTATCTGAATAAGCAAAATTTGAGATGCACAGGGAATTTTAAAATGAAAAAGTTAAAGGCTACCATACCTTTGAGTGGCTAAGGTTAGGTAACAACTGAATGGACATTTTCAGGATCACAATTTTATACTAAGGCCCTTAATTCCATCCCAGTCTCTCTTTAGGCAACTAAGTTCACATGGATCTGGTCCTTAAACCTTCCAGGTGCCTTTGCCTACTGTCTAATGGAGTTTGAATGGAAACTTGCTGCTGGTGTTACAATTATGCCACTCATTGAAAATTTAGCTCTGTCTGCAGCTATTATATACACTTGAATCTTGTAAAATATTAAACCTTTTGCAGCAAAAAAAAAGATTGATTATCATGCTCCCTAAACATTTGGCTTTTATTGCTATGCGATACATGTCATGGACCTAAAAACCTAGCCTGCTGTGAATGGGGACTTTATTAAGCATGGAACTATTCTAATGTATCAGCAAAACTTTATGTGATGATGTGCAAATTAGTTGGTTCAGGGACACAAAAAGGAGAAACTACCCTCAGCAATTTCTGATTGAAACATCCATACTTGTCCCAAATGCAGTTTAAAAAAGAGCTAATTGTCATGGAAAACCTGGGTATTTCTAGTCAGTATAAAAATTATTTTGGTAATTAATTACCTTTCAGTTTACAGTTATCAATATTTGATTCTGGATTTATTTTATTATTTCATTCGGCTTACTCTATTCCAATCTATTCCTCTTGTACAAAGAGAGCCAATTTTAATATTTTCTTACAGTTTGGAGAAAAAAGATTGAAAAAGAAAACTTTAGGGTGAGCTAGACTAACATTCATTTTAATGCCAATTCATTTTAACCTCCTTTTCCTTTCCATTTGTTTCAAAGGACAAACTAATTAAACATAGTTGACATATTTTACATTAAATTAATGGAAATAAAATAGTAACTAAATTCACACTACACTTATCATTTACAGATGTTTATAAAACCTTTCCTTGCTGCTGCTGATCAAAATGACCTTTATATTTAGTGAGATGCAAAATGGCCTCAATAGGAAATCTGCATGAACAGGCAAAATTAAAAAACACTTTACAAATGAATGGTACAAAACCAAAGACTCAGAGAATGCAATTCCAGTACATAAAAAGCAAAGGAAGGTATGATAAAGGAAACAAAAGAAGGGCGGCAAGGTTGTTGACAGATAAATAGGAAAACCTTTATGAAACCTTCAAGTACAAGAATGAAATAATGCAACTATAGCATTATGATACATAATCTCTAACAGAATGAGATGATACTTTATTGTAATAACTTTGGCTCATTATTGCTGAGGTTGTTTTCTGTTACTGCTTATATGTCTGCAACATCCAACATTTTATGGTAAAACTAAGATTCATCCTATAGTATTCGTTTTAAGAGTAAAACAAGAGATGCCTTTTAGAACTGCAGAACAATGGCTCTACTACAGCACCAGAATAACCTTGTGATAGAACATTTAGCATAAAACAGTCTTCTATATACCTCCTTTGTTTAAAATGGACACCAATGCCCACAAATCTTTTAGACAGATTAAAAAAAATCTATTGACATTATAAAACAGTAAGATGAAAAGTGTTCAGAGCTTCCTTTAAAATTATTTAACATTACAGAATTATGAGTGATTATGTTAAGAAAATGTCCCTTAAGTTTAGTAGTCTGAACAAACAAACAGCAAGATACAGTGAAGAGGGGGAAAAAGTCTGAATTCTTCTGGTGATGTTAAAGTAATTTAATTACATAATGTACGAGGCAGATACTGTGTGCTGCATTTGTTATCTCACATGAAATATATTATCCCCAAACGTAAACAATAATGTTACAGTGCAGTGGATTGAGAAGGAAATCGTTTTTCAAGTTCCTCTACTACACAACTCAAGTTGCCATTCTGTTGGCTATGTTCATCAACCGTTTCTGTAGCTGGCAGCTCTGGTGCTGCAACTGGCTTAGGCTTGGATGTGTGCACAGGTAAAGCATGGTTTCTGTC